TCTTCTCCAAGTTCACAAGTCAAATTTCCCACTGAGCCTAAACGAACCGCTGTGTCTTCCCCTCACTTTTCAGTTCCGGTTGAGCAATGTTCAGAGCAACACTTCTCTCTGAATTATATCTTCAATAAAACCTGGTCTCCCTGTTTGGTCTTCTGCGTTTGGGTGTGAACCTTAGTAAAATCATGACAGAGATGCAGGGCTGTCAACTCTCACCCATTGGGTGTGAAACTCACACATCTTAGGTTCTTCAGACTCTCACAGACTATTTATTTATAAAATTACCATACTGATAAAAACCCAGTCTGCATTTTCAACACAACCTTAGTGTGTTGGGATTATTAAAGTATGTCTAATTCTGATAGTGTTACACACAAGGACATAGCAGGTTTATATCCAGCCTGTATTTTTGCTCCAGCCCACCTATTCACTGTGCTGAGAGCAGCAGAGGTGAGGGACCTGCGCCAGATATTGAAAAAATACCAGGATTTCTGAGCAGTTATGACGAGGTAAGTCATTTTAATTTGATCTGGACTAGGTTAATTCACTTAGTAAATAAATGAAGATTTAAGCAATCTAGAACTTGACTAAATATGAATAAAATATACAGCATTTAACTTAAACCACTGTGGAGACTGAGGTGTAGGATCAACTCAAAAGGTTTGTTTTCTCTATACCAAGTGCTTTTTTATTGAGCTTTACTACTTGTTTGCTCTAGTTTATCCTCCTGATTTAGTCCCAGTTTTAGTCCATGTTTTGCTCAAAAGTTAAATCATCAATGCTTAGTTTAGTTTAATAATCTCCCGTCGGATTTTAGGATTAATTAAACCAACAATAAACTAAACTAAATTCTTAAAGCTTTCAGGTTTGCCTCATAAACCCGCAGGAGCTCCACAAAAAGAAAAAGAACCATTGCATTTTATTTTTCAAAAGACCAGCCACTAAAGAAAAGACCAACCACATTCAGAGAGGAGGTGCAGAACAACTCAGATATCCAGAATTAATAGAGGAGGAACAACAGCATCCCTGTTATTTTATTATCACTTATATTATTCATGTATTCTTATTTTTGGTCCATTGAATGTTTAAAAACTTAATTTATATCACATCTACCAAAATCGAACATCTGTTCTGTCTTATGTCATGTTACGTTTTTATTGAATCTACAGCCTCCAAGAAGGTCTGAAAAGTTTTGCTGTTTTATCAATTGTAAGGAAAAAAAAGAAAAATAAATAATAACTTAAGATTTTTTATCCTTAGCCTATTACCAAATATTCATACACAGTCGAGTTTGCACAGTTTTCAAATTCAGTTCCTGTATTAGCGTCAGTAATCCAATAATAACTTATTATTTCCCCATTGTTTTTTTTATTTGACCTGCATAGAGTAATTAATAAACACAGTTGTGAAATTCTTTGTTTACAGTATTTTACAGTGCAAGTATTTTAGTAGGGCCCATTCTTTACTTTAGTTCTATGAAAAATCACCAGAATATAGAAAATAATATATAATGTGTGAAAAATGTTCCGCTTAACTACAGATCACTTATTGTTACTCAGTAACATTTACTGTATTATAAAAATTCAACATTTAACAACTTTGTTTCAGTTAAATCCTCTGAAAACCAACAACCTATAGCTGCGCCTGTC